GCTTGAAATGCCATTTCTAACAGTTTTGTGTTTTCTTCTAAAATATTCCAAGGAAATGCTTGCCAATGCACCATATATTTTGTACTTTAAGCAAATAGAAACTAAAGTCATATTCTTATCCTAAGAGGGAATCTATACTTGATCACCAACCTCATCACACACATACAACCGACTGCATTCAACAAGTGAAATGAGAAATAGTCAAGGTCAGTGTATCAGGCAGGGTTGGCAGGAGACACACACTACATTGGTTATTTTCACATAAAGAATTTAATATAAAGAATCGTTAACCAAGTAATGGAGGACTGAAAAAGGCAAGAAGGAGACACTAAGGTATCCCAGCAAGAAGCAGCTATCATTCCTAGGGCTGGGGAAACAAAGGGAGTAGTGGGGAATTATTACAACTTAGAAACTCAGAGAAGGGATCTCCCAGATCTTTTCTGTAGGAGTGCTGACCTTCTGGTGCTGATATCTTTAAAAGCGTGCCATAATGCTGGTTCTAGGAATGAGGAAAAATTATAAACTAAAATAAATTGCTGCAACTTGGGCTGACTGTCACTGCCGGGGTGAAGGTCAATGTTGCAAAAATGTAGACCAGGAAAAGGAAGGAAACTGTTAAGAGGAAGTTCTTTCTTCCTCCTCCAGCCTTCTCGCCTCTTTCTAGCACCTCCTATTGGCAGAGCCTAATATGGAGCGAACTAGCACAAAGCAGAGTACAGAACATGTTTACAGCTAAGAGAAAACGGAGAAAGATCTGGAGGATGATTTACAGTATATCCTCATGGCAATTCTGCAGGGTATAGGGTCCTTTCCCAAGGGGACCTGACCTCCTCTTCAATTGAAAGCTCCCTTTTTATGGATTGGCTTAGATCTGGAAACTGGGTAAAAGATCATAACTTTCCATTGTTGTGACTCAAGTCAGGTTTCTGGTTCCAGACCTGGAGTTTTTCCTTCTATGCAGTTCATGTAGCATTTAGTAGGCCACCCATCTATTTCTAGGGACACTGTAATTAATCCATTAGCCACTGCCAAAGATCCTGGCAGGCCAAAAGATTCTCTGCTTTGTCCTCTACTGTCCATTATGGACCAGATATCCACCTTGACTCCTGTGATTATGTGTTGCCGCTGGTCGTCAAATCAGGAACTCCAACATAATGGTAGCATCTCCCATCATAAATAGCCTACAGAGGACAGATGCCAGAGATTTTCAAGGATGCCAGTCCACTCTCAGTAATATAGTTCTCAGGGCCTTCATAAAAAGTGTGTCTTCTGTGTCCTCTTGAAGGATGCAATAGGAGAATGTGCATGCAAGTTCCACACAATAAGTCCAGTCCAACATTCCTGTCTTCCTAAGCCTTCAGATTTCTTCCTTATTATGTGAGGAAAGTTCTAGCATCTCAACCTCATTAAATATAGGCCACCTCTGAGTCCAAGTTTCAGTTAACTGAGTATGAGTTTAACACTTTAGATTCAGAATTTCTTGAGAACACACCCGGATCAAAAAATTCTGTCTGATCTAGTGTTATAGTCTATCCTCTTTGGCCTAACCTACTCACAACCCATCCTCACACATATTACCTAAACTCCCAATGATATAAATTAGCAAAAATTTGCAATTCTTTTTTAGAGGCTAGGCTATTTCCACCCAGGTCAGATTTTTGTCCCTGTGCTATGGAGCATGGGAAGATCTGGGTCACATGGCAAAACGTAATCGAGAAAGGACTTGAACATAGATACTCTTGCAAAGCAACTGCCCTAGGTGAGGTTATTACAAAATTTTTAAGTAAGGGAAGGCTAGTGTTCTCAGACATGGAAAGCAGACTGCCTTCATCAAAAAGGGAGGCTCACAGTAACTGGGGTGTCAAGATACTCAGTTTTGCCCAAGCTGTTTAGATGTTCACATCCCGAGTCCCAGGGCTCTACTTCTTTCCAATCAGTGTCCTGAATGAGACATCTACAGGGCGTTGTAATTCTAGTACCAGCACAATTAAAGCTGTGTTCAATATTTAGCTCTGTGGCTACATGAAAATAAAGTGCTTTAGAACCACAGAAACTCTCTGATTCTCTAAGACTTGATCTGAGAGTTAAAAGACCTGAGCTTGTCATTTTCTTTCTATAAGTGCTCCAATGATCTCAGAAGCAACAATCCCACCCATCCCTCAGTCCTTGTAGTCATCATTATTGCCATAATGATCAAGTGCTTTAGCCACTTGGTCCCTTAAGGCATTTGCTTCAGATATCATTTTATCACAATCAACCAAAGGTAATGATTTGATTAACTGTGATGCCAATGCATGCCATGGATTACTAGAATCATAGGCAAGAAGCTTAAGAAAGGACCAAACCAATCCCCAAGTCTGATCTTTGAGTGTCTTCCCCCCAGGATCTCATTCTTAGTAACGACTTCTTTATGGATACCTTTATCATTCCAGTCAGGAGACCAAAGCCATACCAGTTATTTTAACAGAAATAATTTAATATTAAAAAATGTTAACCAGATGTTAGAGAACTGAAAAGGAAAGAGGGGAACACTGAGTATCAAAATCATAGTTACAGTAGGAAGGAACTACCACTCCTAGGACATGGATTAGAGGAAAGTAAATTATTACAGATTAGAAATTTGGAAGAAGGACCCACATGGAGGTGGGACTACTATCTGAAGAAAGGGTATTAATATCTCTGAAGGGGTACGATGAGGCTGGTTCTCAGAGAGTGGAAAGCTATAAACTGGAAAAACTGGGACCAACTGTTAATGACAGAGTGAGGCACTATTGCTGTGGTGAGACGGACAACAAAAAGAATCAAACAGGAAGCAGCAAGTCCTTTTGTCCTCTGGCTTTCCACTCTCCCTCCCCTGACAAAGCCAGCCAGTGAAAAAGAAATGTGGTTTAAAGGTTCTGTCCCAGATTCACCACGGAGAGTATATAATGATGATATTAATAGCTGAGACAATAGTTTAATAACCTGCAGTCAAGAAGAAGCAGGGAGTAGCTGCAGAGTCAGGTCCCTGATTATTTGAAACTTAAAAAATGTATATGGCTTTTCGGTCTTTTCTGTACAGTGCCTGGCAAGCTACTAGGGCTCACAGAAACCACCACGTAGTTAAACAGAAATACCATACTTTCAGTTGCATGATTCTTTGCTATTGCTATTGGGATTCCAATAATCAGATGTTCCTATTCTTTTTCCACTCCCACACAGTGCAACCAGACAAGGAAAACAGTGGAAAGAAGCAATGGGAAAGAAACTTAGAGCAGTACTGAGGTAAACCATGAGAGTGAAAAGACAGATGACCAATAGGGACTATATTTGAGAAGTTAAAAAAAAAATGACAAAAGTGAAGAGCATAGTGGATTAATGGGTATATCTTCTGCCTGGGGTACTGTTAGAAAGTTGTTTTCATGAGATCTAGATGGTTTTCATTGTTTCTACTCAATGAATCCATGACCTTGACTTAGGTTAGCAAATAAACACTGCATAGGCACATCTAACCCAGATGGAGAGAATAGTTGGGTTAGGCTCAAGATTACTGGTTAGACCCAAATCAGGATGGAAGTGACTGGTACTGACATGGTCTTGTGACCTCAGGAGTGCTTAGCCCAGACTTCCAGAAGTTCTACAATTACCTAGGCTTCCACCCTTGTAAAAGCCATACCTAAATGGAGTGGTTAGGCAATCATTGAGTTTTCTGACCAAATCTTAAACCAGAATTTGAGCCAAAATTTGAACCTAGGTCTGTCTGATACCAAAGTCTGTCTCTTAACCACTACAAACATGAAGTTTCTACTCTTCGCACACTGATGCTGCCTTCATTACCAATTGAGCCTTCACTCATTTTCTTCTTTCCAATACTAAAAATAGATATCTAAGGTATCTAATTAGTTGGCCTATTGAAAATTAAAATTTAAGGATATAATGCAATTATCAACCTATTTTCCTTAATGGAAAAACATTACATTTAAGAAAATAACACTAATCTTATAGTTATTTTTAAATCCTGTGTTAAGACTGCCTTTCTCACTTGGGCAACAGCTTCCTAATTCTAATTACAAACTTTCTTGAAGAACAATAGCAATAAAATCTGATGGGGCAATAATAATTTGTTGTAAAATTGGTCTTAATCTTCTCCCACCCACAAACAAGGAATTTTATGTTCTGCTGCTTACAGTGGGGGGAGCAGTGTAAAGATGTCAAAACTATGCTTCCTAAACATGGCATATATTTTCAGAAAATGACAAGGGCTTGTGTCCTTTTTATGTGATCAAAGAGTATTTTTAAACTCATTTTACACAGCTTGCTTCATTCGCTAACACGTCTCCTCTGCCCCTCTGTTCATGTTGTATTCTCTGAAATGCCTTCTATTCTCTACTATACACTTTTTACTACATTTATTTTTCAAAACACTCATTTTTCAAAATCTAGCTCATGTCTCTCCCCTCAGTGGATGGACTAGTAAGATGGTTTCAACTAGCTGTATTTATAAGGCTTCCCTAAACATGATACAATGGAGTTCAGTTATAAGTTACGCTAAAAGAGCTGAAGCCAAATGTTCATTTCAGAAGTACACCAATTAACCTTGTTTATTGTATATGTCTAGGCATTGCACCGCAGGTGACTGGACACTTTTGGGTACACAGTAGGTAGGCCTCAATCCAGGACAGAAGCCGTTGGACAATCACTCTATCCCAATACCAAAACTAGGCCTTTACTGGATGCTTTATTACCTAGAAACAACGCTGGGTAAAATACCTTTATCCGGCACCACCTCGGTATGCCTGCGGCAAAGGGGAACCGGCGGTAATGCGGGACAGTGATGCAGCTGAGCTGTCCACCTAGTTTTCCTCGCGGGGCAAGTTGGAGCCTTTGGCACCAGCTCCCCCAAATCCTCAGGCGCTCTAGCACCGCAGCGCCCCCTGCTCCGATGCCCCCTGCTCCTCGCTGGGACCCTACTCCCCGCTGTCCGCCGCTCCGTCCCCTGCCCCCAGCCCTAGGGCACTTACCATCCCAATACCAGGCCGGTGGTCACAATGAAGCAGGTAAAGACCACCGCGATGTAGAAAAGCGGCGAGTACTCATAGAGCGTTACTAGAAACACTGCAGCCATCAGGGTCTCCTAAGCTGAAACGGGCTTCAGCCGCCCAGCTCAGATCAGCCCGTCCGGCTAAGGTAAAGGCAACTACGGTGCCCCGCAGCGGACAAACTTTGTAGATCCGCACTCTCTTGGGTTCTTATAAACTGGACGTCGGGGCGGCCTCACGGGTTGCGAGAGCCGGCGTGCCAATCACAACGTCGCCTGCAGAGCTCGCCCCGCCCCTCCCGCTCCCGTCCCGAGCTATTGGCTTCAACGAGGGGCAGAGCCCTGGCTCACACCGCCCAGACTCCTGGGATTGGTACCCAGAGAGCGTCTTCTCCGTCTGTCTGTCCTAGCCGTCCGCACCTTTCTGCGGCAAATTCTAAATAGATATCGGGGCCAACTCCAAGACTCAGGTAAGGTTTTCTGATGTCAGAGAGAGGAGGTACAGTCCGAAATCCACGTCACAGAGCCTAGATCCTGAAACCCTACATGTTAGATCCGAGGCAAATTTGGGAGGAGGAGGAAAGCCGGCATCTGGTTCTACAAAGTGCAATAACTCCATACCCGCTCTTGTTTTACCTAGAAAACTTACAGTTAGGCAATGTGCGAAACACCAAAGAGAGTCTTACAAGCAGTTTATACGAGCCTTGTCAGCCTTTTCTAGTTGGATTTAATGATAGAAGCAAATTAGCATTGCGAATCAAGATGCCCATAGAAATAAATCAGCCGTCTTCTCACATTCCCTTATTTTTCTCTTCTCCCTACACCCTTCGAATTAGGTTTAGATATTTGAACATTTTTTGTATTAATTTTCACCTTAACGATAATTTAAAATATGTATCCTGTGTGTGTATATACGTGTATATGTATACATATACATACTTTTTTTTTTTTAACCGAGCAGAAGCTTTTAAGTACAA